TCTGGAGTCCAATCTTTGCTTCTCCAAAGTTCTGCTTCCCAGGAGGTAAAAACCTGGTGCACTTGGGTCCAGCAAAAATCCAAAAGGGCAGGGCAGCACAAGTATAAATTTTGCTGCAATATCCAGTGTGTGTGCCAAATGTGATGGGCTTTGGGTGGGTTATACAATGTATTCTCTCTTCTCTACTGAACACTGGCTGCAGCGTTTCCAGTCCCTTAGCCAGCAGTGTGTGCTTTGCTGATCACACAGACTGTCAATGACAACTTCATAACCGGTTAAGTTCACAGTGCAGCGCTGGTGCTTCCAACTCCCTTGACCCTTGAATGAGATTCAGGTTTTTTTTTTTTTTGCTTTTAAAGTGCAAGCCTGAGCTCATTATACTGCTGCTGTTTTGCGTGGTCAAATGTAGAAACTGGAATCTCTTGGTGAGCAGTGTGATGTTTACTGCTTGTGGGTCTGGCACAGAAGTCATCATTGTTATCTTGCCAGAAATTCACTGCTGAACCACTCTGCCTCAAATTGCCAAGAGTCAAAACAGAATGGAGCAAAGCAAAAGGAAGCTGTACCTCAATACTCGCTCCTGGCAAGCTTTCCTGTACTTTGTATTGGAATTAAAGGTTTGGAGATTTATTTCCATTGATCAGGTGTGGGTTGGGGTTTTTGTCTAAGGCAAATCAAAAAGCATTTTCTGTTCTGGCAAGTACTGCAGTATTACAAAAATAAAAGCAGGCTGTATTTATGCATACTGGTGTATGATCCCAGGTATGTCTCTTCAGGAAAACATCTGTTTATGCGTGTTTGAACCCAAATGATAAGACAAAAACTGGCATGGCTCTGCAGGGCTATTCTAATGATTGCTAATTTTGGTGGTGGTACCCAGGACTTCAGGGACATTGTAAGTTTTGGTCTGCTTCCTGAGATAGCCTTTTGTCCCTCCACCATGGAGTGGCATTTGGGTTTGGCTGTTATGAGTGACCAGGTCAATCATCATGTTCACCACTGTGACACTTTTTCATGGCATACATCTGTCTGTAAGTTAAGGTTGTTAAAAACACAATATTTGTTATGGTGCTGCACTGTAAAAAAAGAAATGGCAGAAATGCACATTTGATAGCTATAATAGTCTTACACCACAAGCTTCATACTGAAGAAAAACACACCGTCTAATGTTGAGTTATAGACCCTTCCTTTTGTATAGCCATGGTATTAACTAGTTTTTGTGGGGAAGATTTTCTGCAACAGACTTAAATCTGGTGCTGATGCTACATTACCATGTGCTCAGGAAAACAGTGGGTGAGCCAAAGGCAATGCTGCTTTTTTAGCCCTGAAGAAAAATAAATTGCTCCAAAGTACCTATAAATCCTTATTGTCAGGTGAATATTCTCTGTTTTACTTAAAGAAACAGAAGTAGAAGGATTTCTGTTTTTTTCAGTCCAGTCTGCTCCTGCTGTCAGCACCAAGTCATGTAATAACTTTCATAAACTTGCCAAACTGTCTTAAAAAGCAGAACCTCACAACCTTAAAGTAATGCTTCTTTCTGTTTAAAACCACAATTCCTTTTTAACTGAATCAGTGTAAAGGGAACAAAACTACTGTAATTGCAAGCACTGGGGAGAAAAGTGCTACAGATGGCTCAATAAATACTAAGAGAGAGACTAAGAGAGCTGGGCAGCTGTTTGCATAACTAAAGCTTACAAGGATGGTTGTATATTTGCAGAATTTCATGCAAATCCCGAGGCTTTTCCTTCCTCTGATTAAACATGTGCAAAATTGAGTAAATCCTTTCACTAAGTAGCTAAGTTCTGCAACTTCCAGACACTGGTAAAGCCTGTCTTATATGTAATACAGCTGTAGCTGTGTTCTTAGTCTTGAAGACTGATTCCCAAAAGCTGTAGGTTACAGTTGCCCTATTGCAGACCTGTGAGTTTTTCTAGAATGGGTATCACTTAGAGGTTTTTAGCTACAAATGGAAAGAAACTCTTTGCATCTTTCAGGTTTGCTCCATTTACTTCTTTCTTTTTTTTTTCCCTTTTTTCCACTGAGTTACTAACATTCTCCTTCTAAAGAGAGCCTTGTTTCCTTGTATCTTTATCTGGACTTGTTGGATTGACAACTGTATTCTTAATTAGCTTTTTTTTTTCTTTTGTTGCTGGTTTCTTTGCTTCCTCATACTGTTTCCTGTTTGTTCCTCAGTGTATTGCATTTACCCACTAGACAGGGTAGCCTCCCTCTCCAGAATAGGATGGTTCCAGATTAATCTTAAAGGTTCTTCACCATGCTGGAAAAGAATCAAAAAAAGGTTTTGCTGTTGTTGAACAATGGGAGGTTTGAAAAGCTGAGGAGTAGCTTTCACCTTGGATCAGCATCTCATTTAGAGCTTGGGGAATGACTCAATTTTATATAGAATCTTTCATAAAACCAGATCCAACCCACTCAAATGCATCCTTTCCTCTGCCTCAAAAAACCAGCAGCAGGTTATGAATAGCAAGCTCTTTGTGTCACAAGAACAGGAATTTGGAGGGTTATATAAGTTATAGGTTGTAAGTTATAACCTAGACCTGCTGTGAAGACTGCCGCTCTCCCTTAGTGTTGGGCCCAGGCTGCTATTAGCCCTTCCTTCTTAGCACTAAGTGATGCCTTGCCAATGGACATTCAACTATAAGGCTGTTAAATGTAACACCTGGGCCAGTGCTTACACATGGAGCTCTTGCTGCTGGTGAACCTCAGTTGTATGGGGAAGGAAAGCCTGAGGACGAGCTGCTTGTGATGGAATGGCAAATAGCAGGGCTTGGCTGGCTTTTAAGGGGAGCTCCTGCACCACCTGGTTTTGGGCCAGGGGAAAGTTGCCTCTAAGTAGCAAACTTTTGTACCAGAAGGGAGTAAAGCAATTTTGTGGGGCACGTGTGTATTTTCAAAGGCAGTTCCAATGTAATCTTTTTTTGAAGCCCTGGACTGAAGATGTCAGAAAAATGTTTTCATAAGAAAACTGAGAATTAGAAGTGTAAAGGATCCAGTACAAAGTACCAAACCCTGCTCTGGGGGCATACAATTCATCTCACTGGAGATGGTCCATTGGACAACAGGGTCAGCTTCAGCTTGTGGTGAATACCTGCTGTAGCTCAGCAAGCTCCTCCTCCTTTCCATACAACTCTTTTTCTAGAAGACACGTTCTAGGAATTACATTCTGTAGAAGGAGGTAACTGGCTCAGGTGAAACCCACATTTGCTGGGAGTACGCATTCTTTGTTTCTTCTTCCTTGCCCTCTGTTATGGGGAAGACAAATGTGATGTTTTGCCTTAGTGTGTATATCTATTTAGTCTATAAAATGTCACTAATAAGGATGAATTTTGGGACCCTTGGCATGGACCCATAACATGTGAACATGCAACGCAGAACAGAGCAGGGAAACATGTCAGGGATACGATATTCCTCACTGAAACAGCTTTTATACTGCAAACTACAGTTCTCCTAATGACACTTGCTCCGTGCAGCTTTGTGTGATATTGTCCCAGATTTATGGCTGGTGGTTTCCTGAAGAGCTATTTGGGTAGTCTGTGATTCAGTGAAACAACTTTCACATGTCCTGTAACAAATCCAAAACTGTAATGGAGTAGGTAATTTGTCTTGAGTTTTAACGTGAAACAAAATGATGTAGTGAGCTTTTTTCCTTCTCTGTGGTGGGGGAAAAACTGGCTCATTTTCAACTTGGATCCCAGCTTTCTGGTTTCTGAAGTCACCCCTGTGGAGGTGATGTTCGATTTTTAATGCTGTCTCATGCAGCATAAAGCAACGCTGCCTTAGTGACAGTAAAGCAAAGTGAACTTAGTGACTAAAGTAAACTAATGTCTTCAGCTTTGTTCTTGTCCATTTGTAATGGTATTAATGTCCTTCTAACAACAGCAGGGATTGCCTAAGCAAAAAAAAAAAAAAAAAATATTGGGAAAGAACTAAGCAGATTTTTAGCTCTTGAAAAGTGATTTAGCTGCTAGAAATAAGGGTAATATCTCAGGGCCAAAACACTTAGACCACCAACGTAAGGAACTTCTGGTCCAGTGATTAGGAGTCTAAACTTTTTCAGGAGTGCTTTGGTAGCAGTTTCTCTTGGCTACTCAACATAAACATACTAAATAATATACTTTTATGTCTGTTACTGGCCTTCTGAACCGGTTATGTATTTAATAATTACTGTTTTCCATCTAGTACCATATCTATCACATCTAAATCTCAAATACATAACTAGTTTACCACATCGAAGGATTTAGTCACTGTTTGATGAGAAGCCATCCCACCTGACTGGCAGTGGGAATGTTTCAGCCAACTCAGTGCTAGGTGGACCTCAAATGCATAAAGTACCTTGGGCTGTTTCAACAAAAAGCTTCATTCCTTCCTCCAGCACTGGCACCATGTGTTTCACAGGTGAATGTGGAGAGCTGCCATGTGATGTGGGAGGAGGATGAGCTAGTGCTCTGTACAGAGATGAGCATTGCTGCGAGCTTGCATTGCAGAGCACCTTGGCTGCAGGAACCAGCCTTGCCCAACACATTGCTGGCCTTGATGCTCTTGGGGTTCAGCCCTGGCCTAGCTATCACAGAGTTTTTTTAAATGCAAACTTCAATAATACGCAGCACCCTGTGGTTTTTTCTGGTTTCAGCTTAAATTACCGTCAATTTAAAAGCCTAGTGCTGTTCAAAAGATCTGAGCATTTTCACACAGCAGTGTGAAAACACAAAATAAATTAGACCCTTTAAGGGATGTATATGTCAAAGCATGTTGTTTGTTAAAAGACAGGTCATGACCACACAGTGCAGATATGATTCTCTAGTCATTTTGATCGGCAACATGAATGAATACAAGAATTCTCTTCTTAGCCTGTGCCCTTTTCTCTTACTGATTACAATTATGTTGTGGCAGTGACATTAAAAGTACAATGCTTGTACGTGAAAGATATCACTTCTATTAAAATCACAAATAATAATGTTTCTCAAATGATGTCTTTGTAGGTGGATGGAGGTCTGCTTGGAAGAAGAGCTGCCCCCAACTACAGAGCTGGAGGAAGGCTTGAGAAATGGTGTTTACCTTGCCAAACTCGCGAAATTCTTTGCCCCTAACATCGTGTCAGACAAAAAGATCTATGATGTGGAGCAGGCACGCTATAAGGTAATAACTTTCTCAGTTCTCTCACCAACACAGCAAAAAAAATGTAGTGTCTGTCTTCCAACTGTTCAAGATACCCAAGTGTGGTTGGTTAACTTCCTGCATCTCTTTTCTAAGGCTGACAAGACTAGACGGAAGGCACACAGCCCTAAGAAGCCAGCACGACAAGTTAGAAATGTTTTACCCTTAGAAAAACTATGTTAGTGTCACTTAATGTTTTTAAAGCTGAACAAATTACACTTCTGGCTCCAGGGAGAACATGAGCTTTACCATTTATACAATTATTTCTCATTAGGAATAGGAGCCAAAAGCAATTCAGTAATTAAACTTGATAACTATTCCAAATTTTCCTCATTTCGTATGGGAGGACATTCACTTCATTAGATCTGCGTGTTTAGTTTACCAAATTTGACACTGAGAAGCAAAAAAACAAGCTACCAGTAATTAAGATTAGCTTGCTACCTGTGCGAGCTGTTCGTTAACTCCAAGATCCTCAACAATATAGAAATACATATATGTATATGCAGTAGTCCCACTATGGAATGCATTATCTCAACATGAAGAGGGGGCAGGAAAAATGTGAAGCAGACATTTTTAAGGTGTAATCACTGGTTGTTGTTTGAGAGTTGAGAAATTAAGCTGTTCTAGGTCCCGTAAGAATCCTGGTTACATTTAAATGCTTCTCTTGAAAATCTCCAAAACTTGAGTTCAGGCTTCTTTTTCCCCTTTACCCTGACTTTTTAAAAATTAACAAAAAAAAAAAAAAAAAAAAAAATTAAAATACTTTCCTACTTTGCTGTTCTAACTGTTGCTTGCATAGGCTGTATGGAGGGTCAAGTATTCAGGTAGATCTGAGGAGTGACTTAAAAGCTCCTTATCTGTTCTCCTTCACAGTAGTGCTAAGCAGTGTTACCACTTCTATATTTTGGAGGTAGTGGCTCCTGGTATTTGACAGCCAGCCTTTACTCCCAAAGACTACTGAAGGGCTGTACAAATGGCCACTTCAGTCACAGTCCACCCAGATGGGTACAAATCTGACTTACGTTACATAAAAGAATGAGCTGGACAGTGTGGGGCTGTTGATGTGTTAGGATGCTTCATTAGCATGATTGCAGCTATGATGCTTTGGTCTTCAGATCAAACAAGGGAAAATTCCGTGAACTTGACTTCAGGATATAAAATTGGAAAGCAACAGAAGAATCAATAATTAGAAAATTTGCTTTATGTGATTTTTATCATCTCTTCCTTCTGTGTTTCCAATAGAGATCTGGCCTTCATTTTCGGCACACTGACAACACTGTGCAGTGGTTAAGAGCAATGGAGTCCATTGGTCTGCCTAAGGTAAGCCTTTAAATTTTAGCAAAAAAACTGGCTCAAGGCACTGACTCATGGACATCACCTTTCAACTGGTGGAGCATAAATGGTTGCTTATAGTAAGTCTGCGGGAAAGGAATAATTCAGGAAACAAATCTGAAGAGAAGGTCATGCTGAAAGCAGTGGCAGTGTCAGTTATGTGCTACTGCTGCCACTGTGCGTGGGCTCAGGCTGCTGTGGACAAGTGCTGTGGGCACAAATGCTCAGGGTGCTTCTCCCGTGGGAAGAGAAATGGGGACACTAGTAGTGTTTTACCTATAGCTTATTGCTAGTACAGTCTCTGTTGGGGCCTGAGGGGAATATGGTTTAAAATGGAAAACTTAAATATTTGCTTTCTTTAGGTTACTACCTCTCATCGTGTCTCTTGCTGCCTCTTCCTCTTAATGTACGTCCCAGTTTCTCTGCTTCTACCCTGTTTCCAGACTGTCCTTGCACTCTCCAGTGCGTCTGCCTGCCTATGCTGCTGTTCCTCTTCTGCCAGCTGTTTTCTTGGGTCACCTCTCATTTACCTTCCTCCTTGCGGGTCTTCACTTGTCAGCACTCCCCTCTGCTGCTGTTTCTGGGCACGAGTGAGTCTTTTTTAGATGAAAATCCTTTAAGGAAGGGCTGTGTGGAAACACCTACTCTGCTTGCCTGGGTAGGGGCAGGCTTGGCGCTACCCCATCTGCTGTGGGATGTTCAGATGGCTGCCTGAAGGGCTGTAGGGGCTAGTGTCCAGTCACTGTGGGCAAAGTCACTGCAGGTGCCCATAAGCAGAAAGGCATACCTGTGACTGCCATCAGAAATGCAGTTTAGGTGAGAAGAGTCCTGCCTCTCCCAGGTCAGGCTTTATTTTTTTGTGTCTAACTTGAGTCCTCCATTCAGCTGGAGTCCTCCATTCAGCTGGATGATTTCCACCCTGCCATCCCTCCTCTGAAAGGTTTTGCTTCTGTTGCGGAGGATGGTCATGGCAAAAAGCTTTCCTGAGTCTCCCTCCCAATCCTGTTGTGAGCAAACAATGAAGAGGGCACTGTGCTCCTGATTTACTCGGTCTTGTCCTATTAACCATGGGACGGCTCAGCCCCAAGTACTCGTCCTGGGCTGGAAGCACGCTGCCAACTCTCACAGTTAGCTAAGTCTTTTATTTTATTTTTGTGGAGAAACAGTGTTTAGTGACTGGGACCAAGGCCAGGAACCAATTAGTGGTAGAACCAGAACTGGAACTTATGATGTGACTTCTTGGCTAAATTGCTTAATATCCCTCTCTCTGAATATCTTTCTCTGTAAATGATGTATTCACACAGTTAGGGGTGCTGGCAATTAGAATTTTGCATTTTTAAATCATACTTGATAGGTTTGGTTTGCAATGAGGCTTTGTGAATTGTAACTGCATCCCAGGTTTTGGGTGTCTGTAGGAGGACGAGCGCTACTGGCTGAGCTCATGCTGAAGGACCTTTTCTAAAAACCTTGCTGAAATACCGCCTGCTTATCTTCCTTTATTTCCCTCTTATTAAGTAGCTTTTATGCTTTATTAAACTCTTCCTTATGAAAACTACTGATAAAGTTAAAATAACATCAGAAGAGACATGATTCATAACTGTATAGAAGTAACAGCTGAACTTCTGTAAGTTTAATGTATGGTTCTGCAGAGAGCTCATTTTAGCTGCTTTTCTGCTCAGAAGTATGTCTTCTCCTTTAACTGTGTGCTCTTTGTTTTTTAGATCTTTTATCCAGAGACTACAGACGTCTATGACAGGAAAAACATCCCTAGGATGATATATTGCATTCATGCTCTAAGGTAACTTGTGTTGGGAGTAGAAGTTAAAGTAACTGACAAATCTAGGAGTGTAAGTCTTGGAATGGCTTTAGGGTAAACAAATATCAAAATCTATCAGAATTTACAAGTTCATTAATTTTAAAGTTGAATACAAAAGTCCAACTTTGGCAGGACTATTGACCAAATTATTTTCAAAACAGAAATAAAGGACTATTGAATTTAGCGCAGATATCCCTCTCAATAAGTACACCCCCTCACAAAGTGCACATACCATTTCAAAACCCATACTGCAACACAAATCAAATAAATGAAGAAAAACCTAGCAAAATATTAATATATCCTTGGGGCAGACGTGCTGATTAGAGTGAAAACGATGCTAAACTGACATCTTTCTGTCCCAAAAGAGTAGCAAATAATTACTGTATTCTGTCATTCATGTAAAAATTAATGTTTTCCAAGCTTTAAAGTTCTGAACAATTTGATTTTGAATGTAAAGTCAGGAAGGCTTTGACCACACCACTGAAGGTAGAGCTTAAAATTCTTTTACGTTCTGCCATAAGGATTTTCTTGATGTTTAGTACTAGAAGTAATGAACATCTGCCTCATGCTGTCCCTGGTGTGAGGGGCAGTGGTGTTGGCAGACAGCTCCTCCCTCTTGTGGCTCTCTCAGCTCATTTCCTGCACATGGAGACCTTTTCCTTTCATTACTTTCTTGCATACTAGGCTTGCAGAGAACACAATTAACTTACTCCCCAAACTCTCTTCTACATTCCTAATGGTGTTCAAAGACACGTCAGCTGCTCCAGGGCTATAGGTCAGAAACTATTCAATACATGCTGTAATTGAAATTTTTTAAGGTCTAATCTTTGAAATGATGTGCCCACTCTTGCATTCTGCTATGTGCACTCACTGCCAATAAATAGGGTATACCATCAAAGTTCATCGTATTTCTTTTGAATGCTAGGTGTTCAGAATTGACAGCCCTGGTATTTTTTTTTTGTCATCTTTGACAAGTGTTGCTGCTTGAAATTATCACACCCGGTGTAATATTAACTGGACAGTATCACCAGGACTGTTTTGGGGTAGCTCTCGCCTAAAACTTGGTAGTGTGGTCTGTTCTGTCAGCCAATGTCTGGTGTAAGCCTGAAGTGATTTCCTGAATGGATGTATAGGGCTTTAATATTAAGCAGCTCAGGCTGACATGGGGCAGTGTGCCCTTCCGGCCACGTTATGGGCCAGCTCAGATATTTTGCAGGAGGGTGAAGAACATAGTGAGGTTTTCCGATATTTCCTTCTTCATGTATGGAGGGGTCTTTATCAGCTATGTAATTGAATGCTACATAAACCCTAAGCCCATCCATTAGATACCTTGTTAAGACCTGCCCAATCATTGTGGTGGCAATAATGCTTTTTCTCTTGAACTGAATTGTGCAATGGGTTGACCTTTGGTAGAAGTTTTCCTTTCTCCACCTTGATGTGCCAGTATCAGAATTGGTCTGTGTTGTCTCTTTCACTTTCTTGTTTGTCTTTTTTAAATTATTTTCCTTTGTTGTATATCAACACAAAGCTATAACTCTGTACTTACGAGCTATTATTTTAGAGATGGACTTCATATCAAATGTGTCATGCCACACTGAAGGGGAATAGACCTGCAATTCTTTTGCTTATGATGCTTTCCCCTGAAAGTGTAGGGCCCTAAGCCTGCATCCCATGAAGGATGTAAGAATCGAAGAAACAATTGTTGAGCTTCATTTATTTCCATGCCTTTTCCTAAAATGCATGTTTTAAGTCCTTCACTGGAGTCTTTCAAATCAAACTCCAGCATCAGTATTGAATGGCACACAGCCTGTGTTGAAAGCAGGCTGGGAAACAACAGAATTAAGGACAGGGCACTTGCCTGGCCAGCAGTGTTCCCAGTTGGGTTGGTGTCAGAGGAACACTGAGCTGCAGGAGTCCAATTCTGTTCCCCTTCTGTTGTTGTTGTAACTACTGACCTGCTGGTGTCTGTCCCCATGGCTTTATGCTGTGCAACCCACCCGCTCTACTCTTTGGGTCTGTCAGAGCATCCTCTCTGGGGAAATCAGTGCAGGGTTTGCCGACCCTGGAAAAGTCCATGCTCCTGTTGTTCTTGGGGTCCAGCACCACAGCATCTAGAAACAGCAATTGCAAGCAGGTTCTTCACGTTTGTAGATGTAGTGTATGCACAGGACCACTATATGAAGAATAACCATTGGGTTTAAATGCTAAATTCTAATGCATCTTGGAACACATGCTCAAATTTCAAAGGCTTATAACTTCAGAAAATTGAGCACTTTCTCAGAGAGGTGAGAAGTTGGCGTACTTTCTTTCTTAGTTGTTACTAAGCCATTACTCTGAAGCAACATGATTCTTGAGCTTTCCAACAAAACTGTACATTTAACAAAGATAAGATATTTTCTTATTCCCATTCTTGGAAATCCTGAAGCCATCTTTAGTTGAGATTTTTCCTACATTAATTCATTTATGCACAGCGAGTGTGCATAATTTAAGTGCTTGAAATTGATAAGATTATTTTTAATTGCCCATTTAAGAAGCATGAAATAGCCTTAACTGTAGGTAATAGGAGCAAAAATCTTCATCTGCCCAAAGGGTCTATTTGACATCTGAAATATTCACGTTTCACAGGGAAAGTCTTTGGTTATTTGGGGTTTTGCTGATCTTTAAGCTATTAAAGGGCCTGAAGAGAGACAATGACTCTAAGCAAAATGGTTTAAATACATTTTTAGGATATGTCCTGGTTCAAGTCTGAAATGAAAACCATTGTACTTACAGTATGTGGAACAACTTGCACTGTCAAATTCAGCACTGCTCTGGCCAGGAAGGAGTGGCTTAGCAAACACTTTCTAGACTCCTGTGTATATAATTACTGTCTTGCTTTTCTCCTGTTGAAACATCAATTCTTAAAGCCAGACTTGAAAAATGCAAAGGCATAGTTGTCATTTCTTGTACCATTTTTCTTGTGAAAGCCAATTTGGATTTGGTCCTCAACTAAATGAGGTTAAGAACTGCTTCCTTTAAATTAAGATGTTAACAGTGATTCTTTTTCCTAAATAGCAGTGCTTACAAGATTCCCCCCCCCCCCAAAATTCAGTTTTCAAATTATCTTTGCAAGCAGATCACTGCTACATCCTGAATAATCTATTCCTCTGAAGCTAGACAGCTTCAAAATACTGTTTTCCTAGGAAGCAGCAGAATAACAAGCATGTTTTTTAAAAAAGTGCACTATTTTCAGATCTGGTTTTTACAGCATGTTATACATGAACTAAGCTTAAAACAAGACCCAAGAACCTCTGGCTGACATGAACTGCAGTTCTATGTAGGTGATGCAAAGGGAATTTCACCTGGGAACTGCCCTTTCCCTTTTGTTTCTCCCCTGCTCCTGATGCCTCATCTCCAGCTTTCTTAACCCTAAGACCCCCTGCTTTTGATTTTATGTGGGTTCCCTGAGGTTCAGGTTACACTATAAAAGCATTAAGCAAGCTGTTTCAAGTGAAAGTATACCTTAATACTGAGTAGAAGCATCCTTGTATTCCCTGCAGGACTTGAAGCACATTTTCAGCACCACCTGGTGGTTAATAAGTTTATCCAAACAAAGGAGCATAGGAAGTAACACACATGGCTCAATATCCTCCTGGAAGTGCTGAACAGCAAAAATATGAGTCTCTAATGTTCATACCACCTTTTTCCCCCTCTGTCTTTTTATTGTGGTGACCCCCCAAAAGGCCAGCGTAGCCCTGTGATGCTGCTGATCTCCATAACTGTTTGTATGACACCCAGCGCTTCAGCCAGGACTGTGTCTCTGTCTCAAACTTAGAGTAAAATCTCTTTAAAAGCCCACAAGAAAAGACTGGCAGGCAGATCAGGGTAATGGAGGGACCTGGTTCATTACTATAGTCATGTGGGTTTTTTCCTGCTATAGCTAACTTGCATTTGAGACTGCTTTGAAAGGTGGCAGTGGCAATGATTTTGAGGGGCTGCAGCAGTTAAAAGTGGTGACCTACATGAGATGTGCTGTCGTGTCCATCCAGGTCGTGACAGCACAGAGGAGTAGCCGTGGTAGCATGGAAGAGGAAATGCTGATTCTGTGTGCTCTGAAATAAATGTGACAGCTACAAATACTTGCTTTGAAATATCATCTTGTAATTTGCTAATAGCAAAAAAAAACCCCAAAACACAAAAGGGAAATGTGTCCCTCTAGAAACAAAAGCCCCAAGCCACAATGCACATTTGCAATGTATGAAGTTGGGGTGAAGTAATTTAAAAAAGAGGTGCAAAATAATCCTTTTGGAGGAATGTGTTATTTAAGTCATGTTTTTAAAATCTACATTTTTGATCCCTATTTGCAAAACTTGCTTGTTTCTTGAATTTAACTGATAAATTATAAAACACTAGTCTTCTGTAGATAAATACATGCTTTGTGTTTGGATGATATTGAGAAAATATGTATGTACTCAGCTGTTTTTTCAGATAGCACCCCAGAGCTCTAGGAGTAATGAGTATAGATATTGTTCATGCTATATTGAAACAAAAATATTAGTTCCTGGATAGCACTTTAAATTGACCTTACTTAATTTTCCAAAAGCTAAATAGCCAATGACACAAATATATTTGAGATGGGCTTGGATGGGCTTATAGGTCTTTGTTCCTCTACACTTAGTAAGAAGGGTGTCAGTGACTTGTATGTCTTCAGCTATTAATTACAGGGATGTAATAACACAAGTCAAAACAGTACATAGATCCAAAGCTATAATCTGTACTAAAGTGCATTCACATCTTGATTTGTTTTTCCCAATACTATTCTTTTCCCAAAAATACAGCAGAAAGAAAACTGTACGGTTAATTTATTCTGTATTGGCCCATGAAATTCAAGGGTTAAAGGACAAGCTTCATAAAAGTGCTTTTCTTTTATATAGAAAGAAAACACCTCAACCACATGCAGAATTTTAAATTCTAATTTTCTTCTTTGCAGTTTATATCTGTTCAAACTAGGATTAGCACCACAGATCCAGGACCTACTGGGAAAAGTAGACTTCACAGGTAATAAACAGCTTATCTAATCATGTCAGATGGTTTCTTCACCCAGTAAATCTGCTAACATTGTACATATTTTCTATTATGGTCTTTCTCCTCCCGCAAGATTGTTCTGAACACATCCTAATTAAATAGGCAGGAGGCTGCTATTTTTAATGAATGTCAGTCTCTGAAGGACAGAAGGGAGTGAATTTGCATGGAATACTTGTCATATCTTAGATTCCTTCAAAATGGGGAGGAAAAACTGCTAAGAAGCCCTGACCACAAGCACTTTCAAAAACATTGCATCCATATTTGTAGGTATGGTGATTCATAATGAAATTCTTATGCTTTTGTTCTGATAATATCTCTTTTTTTAATGTGAACAGAGGAAGAAATCAGCAACATGCGAAAGGAGCTAGAGAAGTACGGTATACAGATGCCATCTTTTAGTAAAATTGGTGGGATTCTGGCCAGTGAATTATCAGTGGACGAAGCTGCATGTAAGTGTGGCTCTTGTTCTGTTTTCTACTGGATAATTTGACAGATCACTAACAAAACATTTTCTCTGTTTAATTCATCTAGTTTGCCACCTCTTAATAAATAACAAGAAAAGCAAGCAAGTTTTCACTATCACAGTGTATTGTTGTTACAAGATCTCTTGCAATTTTTCAGCCTGCATTTTTGAGCATCTCCATTGAACCATAGGAAGTGCTACCAGAAACAAAGATTTCTTACAATCTTTTGCATGGGTTTAATGTTTTAGTAGCTAGTGCTTCTCTAGAATGACGAATTGAGCTCTGCATCTGCCTCTGCACTGTAGGGCGTACAGTGGAGACAGCCATGGGAACAAGGTGTCTTCTCTGTGCTTCCTTCCTGTGTTGGGCTCCTGCAGTTTTCCTCAGGTTGCTGTGAGGACAAGGCATTGTTCCAGATAGACAACTTTCTCATGTACGGTGGTGCATACATGGAGGAACCACTTGCCTCCATGGGCCGCTTTCGATCTGTCTGAGCAGTGGTGTGTAACCCACGGCATGGTAGAACCCCGGTGGTGCATCCAAAATAAGCTTTTCCTTTTCAGGGGGATTAATGCACAGTTATGGTCCTTTTGAGCCTGTCTTCAGCAGCTTCCACTGAAAAACAAAATTAAGTGCTTTCTTGGTGCCCAAGCCTATCTATCTGTCATTCTGTTTTTTCTCTCTTTCAGTTTATTTGTGGAATAAAGTGATATGTTTAAAAAAAAAAAAAAAATGCTTGAACTTAGACGATGTGAAATGAGGTGTGTCCACTTAAATCCATACTTGAGTTATTTTGTTCAAAATCCTAGCCTTTTTCAGAGCAGCAAACTGAAGAACAGAAGGGCTGGCTCAAGTATGTTCAATAGCAAAGGGGATCATTGATACAAACCAGTAACAGTACCACAGACAGTGTATGGTGTGGCGGAAAGGGGGGAACTAAAGGCTGCATTATAATTGAGTTACATTGCAGCTTTGTTAAACCCTGTAAAGTAGCATAATTGAAACAAGCTGATTCATAATGTTACTTAATGTGCTGAAATTTCCAGACCTTAACTTAAAACATGCTTTTGCGTGTTGATTCACATTTTCTGTGATGTATATTTTGGAGCCTGCTATAGCTTAATATGTGCATGCTTCTGCAAAGCTAGCTCTTAAAATACTGCCTTTGGACATAGGGGTAGTTTTGCTTCTTTTTAGCAAGTTTTCAGAGATTTAGTGACTACAAAGCACTTTTCCAGGGAACTTCCTTCCTTCCCCGAAGATGAAAGGGCTGCAACTTCCCTCTCTGAAAGCTTTTTATAGTGTGTGTAGGGTTTCCTTTAACTTCTGAAATGGTTTCAGTCTTCCATAGAAAAGCAGGGTTTCCTGATGCTGGTTCTGTCTCTTTGGGCAAGGAGTCTGCTGTAGATAACAAGCCCTGCCCCACAACAGGAAACATCTGCTATCAGAACCCTCATGCACTAGTGGGGTTGGACATGGAGATCCTGGCAGAGGAAAGGGTCTACCACCCTGCTTCCAAAATGTAGCAAGCAAAAGGATATATGAAGTGAAACAATTGCTGATGACTCTTGCTGTGCTGTCAGCAATAGTAGAAATCAGCATGCAAAGAGTAACTTGAGTGTTTTCAAAGTGAGCTTATTCTGCAAGTAACCCTCTCTGTAATTCCATGCCTCTACGCTACTCTTTTAAGGCCAGTCAGGTTTCTCACAGTCCTCTTGGTGGATGGGTTCACAACATCCACCAATACCTGCTCACATCTGTCTTAACCTTGCACCTACCTGTTGAATACTTTTTGCCAGCTCTACTTACATCAGTGAGGCCTCTTACACAACTGTGTAACACCCTTCCTATCTGTTGTGTTTTATATGAGGATGCGGGGATGATACGTGTGTCTAAGAACCGCAGTCTTCTCTTAGCCCTTTGAAGTTGACCTGGGTGTTCATAGAATCATAGAATATCTCAAGTTGGAAGGGACGCACAAGGATCATTGAGTCCAACTCCCTGCTCCTTGCAGGACTACCTAAAACTAAACCATATGACTAAGAGCGTCATCCAGGTGCTCTTTGAACTCTGACATGCTTGGTGCTGTGACCACTTCCCTGGGGTGCCTGTTCCAGTGACCAACCACCCTCTCAGTGAAGAACATTTCCCTAATGTGCAGTCTGAACTTCTGCTGTTCGTAGAGTTCAATGTCAATGGAACCAGTATGTCTGTCTTCTTGCTTCTCCTCCATTATACCAGCTGCTTTGTACACCCCTTTGTCTTTCTAAAAACTCAAATTTCCTAATCATTGACAAGCATCTTTCCTTTCCTTCATAAACTGAAAGAAACTGAAGGCTCTAAACTCAGATATATAGACCCTCAGTTAGACTTAATCCCAAACAAATCCCAAAAATCCCAAATGAATGCTTTTTAATGAATGCTTTTCTCCAGTTTAGCAAAACCATGCAAGGCCACATAGCAAGTAAATACTGACAGAATAAGGAAAGATGGCATTCATGTTTTCCCTCACGCATCTCATTGGTGGCATGAAAGTAAATCCTAGACAAGCTGCTGTGTTCCTCCTTTGGGGTAGGTTCTAGATAAATATTTATCAGGAATTACCTTTTATATAGAAATGTCTGTAAAATCTTTGAGATGGATGTGCCACCAGACAATCATTGAAGTCTCTTTGTGGCATGAAGGTCTAGATAAACTGTAGCTCTAGAGAAATTCCTTCATCTAGACTGATCTCAGGGCCAAATGTATGTATGGAATACCTGGGAGGGGTGTGTTAGGCATTACTCTACACCTAATTCAGCTGCAAGTGGTTTTGATTTTGTACATTCATGTAAATTTGCTGTGTGGAAAAGCAAGAGCATTTCTGACTCTTAAAAATCTTGGAGTCAAGCATTTAGTAGTAGAAGTTTTCTTGTTTTCTCAAAGGAAAGGTTGAATGCTCAAGCTGGTCAATGGCTGTAGCATGTCCTATGGCTCTTTTCCCCTTTTCCTGTGCAACGATGTTTTGGGAACCCTGTTAAAGCCCTTTAGGTGTTTTTCCCCCTCGTTTGAAGTTTGCTGTCCTGTGGCTTTGCAGGTGACAGAAGTAGAGGCTCTTACATCGCTGTCTCTCTGGTTCCCCAGCTGCTCATGGAGATCATCAGTTAGGAAAGGAGTTCATCTCAGACAGGCTTAGAATGTGGGATGCAGGGTTGCACCCTGCATGGGAGTTTTAACTATGTTTTCTGGGGGACAAGTTTCAGGGAGTTTGAATTTCCATGTTCTTGTGTGGTATCTTTCAGATATAGTTAGTTTAGACAATACTTTCATATGTCTTGTATCCTCATGGACATGAAAAAAGCTTTAACTAAGAGAAAAGCTACTGAAAATTCTTTCAATTCCTGCATATAACTGCCTTCTGAATGACATAGGACTTGAACAATAAAATGTAACTCATGTTTTATTTTCTGTCAGTAGTAACCCCCTAGTTGGAAGAAGGGCAAACATGGAACAGACAGCAATGTGTCACCTTTGAACAGACATTGAGTGCTTTTGGTGCTGCGATCTAGGGGAAGCATTAGGAGTGGGATGCTTGAAGGCGAATATGTAAATTGTTGAATGCATATTAAACACTCAGTGACAGTATTAATAATAAACGGATCACGGAACATGTATGTGAGGAGGAAGGCTTCCAACCTGGTGTTCTGAAAGCGTCCCTGGTGAGATGTGTGTCAGTGCCAGGGAATGAAGCTGAAGGAACAGAGAAATTGCATGTGGCAGCTTACCAAATGGGCAGGAATTAGATAAGTTGTGGTTATTTATAAGATCATACATGCATATAAGCTGTTGTTCTTTGAATCTTTTATTGCTACTTCTATTAATAGAATCATTTTGTTGTCTTGCAACAACAACAAAGTGATTTCCTGTTGATAGGTGATTTCCCCAGATTTAATCAAGGAAGTTATATTTCTACTGTCATCACATGTCATTTGCCTTTTCTTTTTAAAAGAAGCCTGGGGTCAAGGATGTAAAAGTACTTGAACTGAATACGTTTTGCTTACTGAAATTTTGGGTTGTGCTTTTAATTTTAGTGCATGCAGCGGTAATAGCAATTAACGAAGCTATTGAGAAGGGAATAGCTGAGCAAACCATTGTAACTCTGAGGAACCAAAATGCAATGTTGCTAAACGTGGATGAGGAGCTTGCACAGGACTATCAGAATGAACTCTTTGAAGCTAAAAAGAGAAAAGAATCAAACGCCAGACTTAAGGTAGTGGTATCTTATTAGCACTCCTAGTATATACGTTCCTTCATGTAGTTTCTCATGCTGTGGTATTACCGTTTTAAAAATTAAGTTAAATTAATTTTTAAAATTAGTGCAAGTAGGAAAAAAAGAATAATTTTAAGCTAAATAAGATAAATAATGGTAATGCAACAAGCTGACAGAAAATTTTATATGAATATGATTATTATAAGTATGATGTAGCTTAACTTTGACCAAAGGATTAAATACTGGAAGGCTAAAACCAAAAAAAGAATGGTTTTCTGCTATCAACTGCTTTAGAAAAAACAAATTTTATGTTTACAAAGTTGCAAAAAAAGATACCTTTTCTGACCATAAAGTATAACATCTACCACAGATGTTTAATGTGAAATTATTTGCTTTGTTTTTTACATGAGAGCTAATGCTTTCTGTAGTTGAAAAATGCTACACTATATTTACATGGCCATTTTACAGGAAGCAGAAAATGCTTTAAACATTGCTCAGCCAGTTACCATGAAGTGCTAATTTCTTTGGTTCATGTGGTCAACGAATTCCTTTACAAATACAGCTAGCAAATATTTCAGCTGATACAATTTTAATTACTCCCACTGAACAGCTTTTCTCGCTGCAAAGTGTTTGTGTGTAATAGCAATGACTTTGTTTTCTTAGAACGGCACAATCTCTGAGGAGGAGAGAGATGTCTACGAGGAGCTGCTGACACAAGCTGAGATTCAAGGCCATATCAATCAGATAAACAGTAAGCCATTCTGGATCCTTGTGGAAGTGTGCACGTAACACATGATCTTCCAGATTCCAGCTGAACACTACTTGAATTTACAGGAACAAACAAAAAATATCTGTGGAAACTTATAAAATACGCAGAAGTAGCTAATGTCTGTCTACAACAGTTTTTTCTTGCTGCTCCTTCTCTACTAGTCTTTTGGGTGGCTAATGTCTGTGTTTGTTGGTTTTGCTGCAAGGATTCCTCAGTTCAGAATCGAATCATTTATTGCCTGCTCTGTTTCCTTATGTCTGAGGTCCTTTTGTGTGCAGAATACTGTAAATTTTGACCCCCTCTTCTATATAGAGCTGAAATTCACTCATAAGCTTCCAGCTAGCTGTGATTGAACTGCTCTCATATGGGCTCGCACAGAGCCAGAAACTCCCTTCATAGGATTGGTCTTGAAATAGATAATCCTCTGCCAGATAGACTGCCACCCTAGTTGGCTTTTACAAAAAGTGAGATGCTGACAGCAATGGACTTTTTTCCACAAAAGTGTATTTGCTGTTTATGAGCATTGTTTTCATTTCAGTTCACATAGCTTTAGTCCAAGTGAATGAGGCTATTGACTGGCAAGATGAAGTGGCGCTGATGGCAGGTTTGAACCGTCCTGCTTTGAGCCTACTTGAAGTTCTGCCGCAAAATTCCTCATGGTACCTATTGCAATTGTGTGATTCTAAAGAACAGAAAATGCAGGTAATTGAATGGAACGGGTACTACGCATCAGTTTGCATTTTTTTTTCAGCTGATTTTAATCCAGAGAAAAATTGCCTTTACCTTCAGCATCACCTAATGAAACAGTTTTATAAAGGTTTTAGAATAACTGATGTACTAATTGACACCAAAGTAGCTGCATTTGCTCTAAAGAGCATGATGCCTTAATAAGTAGTTAGTAAGATACAAGAAGAAAATTTGAGACATAGCATGCAGCCCCTAATACTATGTTTGCTTTGAAAATTACTTATAGCTTGAGTACAATAAAAGGTAATATTGAATCACTAACAGCAAATGAAAGAGTCAATTGGGTTTTAAGGAGAAAAAACATCATTTTGAGTAAGAAGAAAATCACAGGGAAAGATTAATGCTGTGTTTACTGTGGCACTGTATTTGATGTGGAGGGGATAGTACAATCAAATCCTAGTGTCCCATCAAGGGGTTTTATCCCTTATCTCCCATTTAAAAGCATAATAAAATCTTTTTTTCTGATCTGTTAGATAGCAGGGGTTCCAAATACGCTCGACAAAAGTGAAATACAGAAAGAAATTAGTGTTGCCAATGTGGAAGCTGAGGCTCACAAGCTTAGTGAGTAACTGTTTTAATACTCATTTTTTACCATCACCATTTAATTATGTTAAGCTGATGAATTGAATCCACCATTCCTTGCATGTAAATGAGGTTTCTCAAACTGAAACCATATGCATTGCGTTTTATTTTTGTAACTGTTCTTCTTAATGTCACAATTGCCAAGTCACCAATCTGTGCTGCATTGGAGATACTCTTTTTATCTGAGGTTGCTAACACTTTTTTCTTTGAATAACTTGAGCCACTGGTAAAGACATTGGCTAAAACTGAAAACAACGCATGGCTTGGTGGCTTGAACAAGTATTTATCAGCACAGTATTAATCCTCACTTAGGAGCGATGACCATCCTTGTAGAATTAAAATAGAATGACCACACTGAAGAATATTTTGCAGTCGTATCACAGAGGAAAATTATTCTCACTTTTAGACACATGTATCTAAATGGAACCTGTTCTTGGCCTGCTAAGACTGTCACAAGACAAAAGTTATAAAAAAAAAAAAAAAAAAAAAAAAAAAAAAAAAATATAGTTAAGGGGGATCTAAATTTGCAGTGCATGTATTGCTGCTTTTGACTGGAAACTTCTTTGCCAGGAAGTTCAGCTTCAGTTAAATGGCTGTCATTTCATGCTACACCTGGGCATGGCTTAGTGGCTGTTTTGTGCCTGGTATTATTTCCAATGCTTTGAATGCAGGCTTATTGCTTTTGTAATGTGAATTAAAGGCTGTACTGTGAGGTCAGCTTAAGCCAGAAGCTAAGTTTGATTTACTACCTCAAAACTCCGCTTATTTTAGATTGGTTAGGCATGGTGAGCAGTACTTCTCTGAAAGAGTTGCTCCTTGGTAAAGGAAATGAGGAGGAAGAATGTGACATATGAAAAGCATTAACAGCAATCTGGAAAGCAACTTATTTCTTATGTTTGGATTTAAAAGGAAAAAATAGTGGGTTTTGTTATCGGAATGTGAACAATGTAAAGTGTATTTTGCAAGTTGCATGCTCAGTTCCTGAATTAGAAATCAGTAGCTTGGTTATTGACTACAGAGCTAGTCTAGTTCATCTGTGGACTCTGACTCTTTTCCTCTTTACTCTTTTCTCTAAAAAAGCATGCATGCCATAGCTTTGAGAGCCTTTGCTTTTTCTAACCTCAGGAATAGCCAATAGAGAAAGCCTTCAAGAACAACATGGTCCCCTATGACCATGCTTCAGAGCAATTGAAATGAGAGGCAAGGGGCTTGTTTAGGTGGTCCTGGTTACTTAGAAAGGTTTTCAAAGTCTTCATGTTGTGTAATAAGATCTGAGTGTTGCTGCATACATGAACTGTGGATGGTGTCTGCTGTACAAGCAGTCTCTTACAGACCTGAGCAGTCAGTGATGACTAAAAGCATTTCCTGAATAATAGTATACAGAAAAGCCATAAGACAATGTGGAGGAGATCGGGGCTATTTTGTGGATGGAAATGGCATATACAGAATCGTCATTCTTTACTCCACTGCACGTGCTGTAACCTTCAAGGTTGTTTCGTTTTGCGTTAAGACCAGAGTGGTCCTTTGTACAGGGTGTTCCTGGGTGCGTCCTGGCCCAGGTTTCTTCAGAGTTGGCTCCTCCAGGCGTGCAATTACAATGGCTGTGACTAAGCTAAGAGGTGTTGTAATGTTTCTGCAGCTGTCCAAGTGGGAAGTGTTTTTCAGCATTTTTCTGCTGGGGTTCAAACCTCTGCTGAAGTCTGTTCAGCAAAAAGCAAAACAGGGGAGTTGTTCAGGTACCAAAAAGGGTTACGCTCATAGTCCTCTATGGTGGTCAGCTTAATTTGAAATTTGAGGTGTAGAGAATAGGATAATTTCTAGATGGCAGTGCTTGTGAGGACTGATCTTCCACACTGTTAAAAAAACAAACAGGTGATAGCATGCAGAGGAAGTCCTAGAAGCCATATCATGTGGTTTTCCATCAGTTCAGTCTCTGAAAATCCTGGCCCCCCAACATATTTGACTGATTTCTACCAGGTCTCCTGAAATGAACAATAAAAATGTCATTGGTATTGTAGGACAGGCTTGTTCTAACTAGCTGAGTTAGGTCCGGCTGGATAGGAGGAGGCGAGGGAGGAAACAGTGCAGAAGGAAAGGAGCATTTGGAGTGAAGCAAGACTGGGCTGCTGGAGCTGACATACCCAGCACTACCTGCCACAAACAAAACCGGGAGGGATGTTAGGTCTTTCTCTGTGCTAGGAACGGGTCAACTCCTTGTTTTGGGTTAAAGATACAATAAGCAGTCTCTAATATCTAAAAGTCCAGAAACTTGAAAGTCCTCCAGTCCATTATTTGCTGCATACCTTTGAATAGACACTGTTTTTGCAACATTCAGCACTTGTGTCTTGAAGAATCTCACACAAATATGGTTTTTACTCTAATGACAGCAAATTATATTCTTTGGAATAACCTAATTGTCATCTACATGGCATAAAAAGGAAATGGCGTATGAAAATTAATAGGCTTTTCTTTCCCTGCTGTTCTCTAGAACTTACAGCAGTTGACAATATCAATACTGCAATTCGTAACTGTGATCCTAGTAAAACACTGGTTGCACTGATGAAACCGGAGGCACAGCTGCCTGTTGTTCACTCATTTGCTGCTGCTGTCTATCAGACTGAGCTGTTCAACCTCCAACAACAGAATGCTGTGGTAAGAGTGAAAAGCTTACAACCTGCTCGCTGATGTCATGTAGTCAAACCATGAAAGAGCACAAACATAGCATGTTGTTGTGTAAAATCAGATTTAATTCTCTTGCCATGGTGTTACATATTGCATGACTGGTTTTGTTTGAATAGGCAATATTGAATCACAGAATTTGTTTCTTGACACACTTTGCTCTGGCTGAGCTCTTGTGTTGCAACAAATCGACTGATATTTTTTAAACGTTGCATGTTCTTAATGAGGACTAACTCTGTTTTATCTATTGTATAGAAAAGTAATCCCCTCATAGGAGGGTAAGACCAGAATAGATGGGACTGTGGGGCAAAAGAAGGAAAGGCTGAAGGAATGTGTAGCAAACCCAGTAAGCTCTACCACCAGTGTTGTGTTAATCTGACATGCTTGTAGCTAGGAAATTTGCCAGGCTTTTTAAATCAAGTCCATCTCCTTGGTGGTATCTAGACTGTGTAACTCAAAATTTGTTACACTGCTTATTTAGCTTCCTGACTGTGGTCCGTTATTGTCCTACAGAACTACCTGTCACATGATGAACTATTTATTGCAGTAGAAATGTTGTCAGCTGTTGTGTTGCTAAACCAGGCGTTGGAGAATAAAGACATCCTAATGGTAAAGAATCATCTCAGAAACGCATGCATTGGCTTCAATAATCTGGAAGAGGAAAACTTTCAACGGTAAAGGTTCATTTTGTCTTGTCTGGATGAGACTTGTCAACTTCTGCAAAAGGATAAGTAGGCATTTTTCTAGGTGGGCTGTCCTGTATTGTGGCTATGAAGTTGAAAGAGCTGCAAGATAAACATCTGTGTTATAAGTTAATAAAAGATAATGTGACAATTGCTGAACTAGTTGTATTGTTGTAAGTATAAGCAATCTCATAACCTCAGATATTTGAGGGCCGAGGATGTGTAAGATGCAGGGAAAATATCCTCAGAAAGCAAACATTAAGATCTGACAAGAATTTTACACATGAACCAACCGTAGCTGGAAACTGTTAATCAGTAACCTCTGCAATACTGAAAGATGTTTGGAATGAGGTAGTGTTTAATGCCCTAAGGTCCAGGGGTACCTTAAGCCATGGCTGACTCTTTTTGCTTGAGAATTGCAAAGGTCTGAAAAATATAGCCCAGTCCTGCTTGCTAAAAAGCTGAGTACAATGCTGTGGCACATGTGCATGTTCAACATTAAATTACAGCCTTCATTCAGCTGCCAGCTGCTTGCACTGCCACGTGCTTGACTTGTCACAGCCATGTGCTGTTACCTCTGCACTCTTTTGTGTATCTGCAAAAAATACCAGGTAACACTACAATTCGTGTGAGACCTGAGCCCCCAGCATGTGGGGGAGACCATGCAGGCATGGGCCGGTTCTTGCCTTTCAGTCATGGGTGGTTGAAACCTCCATGTGCTGCTGGAAGGCATTACTAGGCAAAAAGGACAGCAGTGGCTGAAGATCTTCACCAGGCTGCCAGGGGACATGAATCTGAGAGTGGCCCTTGCTAGGTCTCTCAAAGTTGGAAGGAGGGCAGTCAGGACAGGAGTAAGAGGACAGTGTTTTGGTTAGCAGGAGCAGAATGTCATAAGGTGGAGCAAAATTAATCTGCTACTTGGCCTCCGCAAATGTGAGGTGGTGCTTGTGGGCAAGAGAAGCAATGTTATAAATATACAGAATGGGTCCCAAAGTGTCCCAGTGCAGCATTTTTAGCTGGTGCTACAGTAACCTGATCTTTAGATTAAGCTGCCTGTCAATGCAAAGGAAACAGTAGGAATTACTTGGACAGGAGAATAAAATAAAACTTTATTATGCTATTATGTAAATCTGTTCTGCCAACCAGATGTTGAATATTGCAGGAAGTTTTGATTGCAGAATACCAGAAGGAATACAGTACAGCTAGAAAAAGTTCACTGAGGGAGATGGTGTTCAATGGCTTTCTACCAGAAGAGATGAACTTGTTAGGAATGTGTTTCCTAGAAGAGAGAATTTAGGGGAAATATGACCTAGGTCTACAAAAGTTTGTATGTTGTGGGGAAGGTTAATAAAAGTTGCTAGCTTCTCTTATAACTTCGGGTTTTATTTTCTTATGAGAACTGGAGCAAGAAAAGTTTGGACGCTATCAAATGTAAAATTTACATAAGGAACTGTCATCTCACAAAATACTTAAATAGTGGGACTTATTCCTCAAGAATATATAAGATTTCAAATTAGAGTAGATAAACTAATGGAGCACAGTATTGTTTCCAACTATTGAAGTGATATGTAGCCTCCTGCTTAGGAAGCCCTTAAATGCAGGCTGCTGAATGCTGGAAGGGAAAATCAGAGCAGGAAGTGATGAATCTCTCCTGTATTTTCTCCAGCAACCATTCATTTCTCAGGCTGCTGCTGGAAATAGAAGACAGATATTTGATCTGACGTATTGTGGCAGTTGTATGCTTGATTCAGTAATACAAAAAATATTTAACATACGTATACATGAGTTTACGCTACTGTGAAGGTGTCCAGCTCGTCCTGATCTGTGATCCTTCTAAGAAGAGTAGACACAGGCTACAGAGCCTGTGCTTGGAGGACCTTGAGTTGTGGGGAGAGGAGCATCATTTTTTTTATGCCCTTCTTCTGCCCATGGCCCATCATCCTCCACCTGGAGGAAGCATGGAGGTAGCAGGAGGTGCTGCTACCTGATGCTAGGGCAGAAACTCTGGTCTTTGACTTAGTGTAGCAAGAAACCAACCTTAATTTCTCCCAGATTTATCTGCAGCACCATACAGCGAAGTTTATGTCCAGTGTGTGTATTACCATCACCCCACATTGCCAAGAAAAGTGCTCTGAATTAGTGTACAGGGCCATTTTTCAGATCCTGAAATGCATGCATAGAAGCAGTAACATGGCTTGCATGTCTGTATAATTTTTGGCAAGAGATGAGTTTGTCTGAAATTCATTAGTTGAAGAAAATACTAGGCACTAAATGATGGATGATACATCTGACATTCTTTATGGCAGTTTGTCTTGTATATGAAATACACTTATGTATTTTATATCTTCTTATAGTTATGCTGATACACTATTGTCTATTAAGTCAGAGGCTTCATCTCAAGGCCAAGATTATTTAAGCTGGAATGATATCCAGAACTGCATTGACATGGTTAATATGCAAATTCAAGAAGAAAATGAAAGTAAGTAATTCTTCCTCTACATCGCCCACAGAGATGACAGTCTGGTGCTTGGTACATAAATTTCTGTGGTGAATGGCCCTGTACAGACACTCGTTGAGAGAAGAGTGTTAAGTAATTTTGAACGTCCTTTGGTCTTTAAATGTCCTTGAAGTACTCCTGGTTATGTTTTGGCTGGCTGAAAGATATCGTAGGGTGCCTGCCTTCTGCAGTGCTACAAATGCCATGGTTCTGCCCACTTGGCAGTACCTTTCGGTACTCACACTGGATGGTCTCACTTTGGGGATTTTGCAGAAATTGTAAGCAAAGAGCATACTGGGGGATAGGAGAAGAAATTACAGGCAGTGTCCTATGGAAAAGAGGTTTTTTTAATGTTAAATGATTTCCAAGCCCTTTTTCACACGGGAGTTTGCATGAAGTTATGCAGTGCAATTATCTGTCCTGCTTTCCTTTTAGGTAACTTGTTTTCCTATCTGAGAGTATCTTCTTGTGACCGCTTTTTCTAATATAAATGGATTTAGAGTTTATTTTTGAAGCTGAATGTAACTGCATTGCCCTAAAATGGTGGTGTTATATTAAATGTGATATAGCTGGTCATTTGGGTTTCAAAAATGCTACAGGACCAAGTTTCTCCACTGGATACAGAAGTATGGGGTTTTTTTTGTTTGGTTGGGTTTTTTTTAAATAAAATTTGAGGCTATCAAGATATGCCCAATTTGCTGGAGCAAGGAAAGGAGAGGGCAGCTTTCAGACCACTTGCCATTTGGGAAGCAGTCTGGAGTACAGTTTGAGAGCCTTCATAATGTGCAGGCGGTTTCCAGGGTTGCACTGACGCATGGTGTGTGTGCCCTTCCCACACTGCCATCAGTGTCATGTGTACTACTGTTTCATACTGGTAAGAGAAGCTTTGTATTACAGAAATACTAAAACTGAGTGGATTGTTGCTTCCTAAATCCAGTCAAGTGGTTGCCACAGACTCTCACTTCTCGCGTGCAATGTGTGCTCTCCAGCAGGGTGGGATGCTGAGCAGTTCATTTGGCTGACATAATCACTTTTTTGTCTGAATCTCTACAGTCACTAGGAGTTGAAACAGGCCTTAAGAAAGGTGGCCTTACATTAGAAGGGTCAGTCTTTAGTACTAAAGTAGCTGCACTGCATTTCAGTGCCACTGGCCTCTGCCCAGGCAGAGGGTGGAGAGAGGATGAAGAAGGGTGGCCTCTGCTTCCATAAGCAAGCCCACATGTCTGCGCGGTTCCTCTTTGATAGCAGCCCAGAAAAATTGCTCATTCCCAAAGCCTTATAAGGGCATGGATCCGTGACCCCACCAGCTGGTCTGTGGTGGGTCTGGGAGAGACATGGCGAGAGACGATCTTCTGCCAGCAGAGATGCCGTCCATCACAGGTGATGGGGAAGCCCTTGGCTGGTGCCCTTCTAGGGTAGCTTTAGAGAGAAAGTACCCAAGCAGTGCATTTCAGCATGGTTTGGGGGTAGGAGGAAATTGATTTCAAAATGTTGAGACCAGTCTGAATAAAATGAGTTAAAAGTTTTATTAAATACACTGGGCCATGCATACACACTTACTTGCTGACTGAAGTCCTGAGTGCCGATGGTCTGAACAATCAAGTGATTTCTCAGAAGGTCAACATTATCAGATTGGTTATTTAAGGCGACATTTAAAGAAATTAGGTTAAGTTGCTATGTAATGCTGTGGCTGGGAGGTCAGTATGTATGTATTTGTCCAAATCAGGGTTTCAAGTAATCTGGTCTGAAATCACTTGAAAATAAGTCTTTCAGCCTGTGAGCCAATATGTAGGTGAACATATGTAGTTGTGACACCCAACCTTTCCTTAAGCTTCATGTAGGTACTCCTTTTCTGAAAGTAGGGAAGTCTGTTTTCCTTTCTTCAGCAAGGATAAATTTGATTTTTATGAAGAGGTAGATTCAGGTGAATCAATAAATGTGGCAGAAAGGACAACTGTACAATTTAATAGCGTCACATGAATATTTGAGCAAAAATAATTTAAAATCAGCTGCTGTTGCTGCCTCTGCTTCATGTTACTTGATTTTTCTGTTCCTGTTACTGCTTTGTTTGTACCTGATATCAGATAAGTTGCATCTCTCTTTGATAACTACACCTTTAATAACTTTTCCATTTCATAGGAATCATTGCAATTGGCCACATCAATGAAGCAATTGACCAAGGAAATCCTGAGAGAACTCTAGAAACGCTACTGTTGCCCACAGCCAAGCTGCAAGATGTGACACCAGTAAATGCAAGGCATTATCAGGATGTTCTGCACCATGCCAAGGCACAGAAATGCAAGGTTAGAACTTTGACTGTTGCTGTTTGTCAGAACTGAAATGCCAGTTCTTTTCACTTACACCGGTGTCCCTGTCCTGTTCCCCCAATGTTTGGATTAGCTGTGCCAATGGGGTTGTAAATAAGCCAGTGACAACAAACTAGCACTAAGTAGTTTTCCACTACAACATACTCTGACTGGCAAAAGGGATTAATTCTCAATGTATTAATACAAAGACATATTCTGCATGTGTGTCACTACTGACTTGACGTAACCTTGCTTATTTTTAATTCTGCTGGGTTGCTGCAGCTATTACAAAATGTGGGCAGCAGCAGCCATGATGTAGTTATGAACTTGTGTGAGGATCTAGTTACTAGACTGTGTCAGGCAGGTAGTTATAATATGTATGAGAATTGAGGTTTTTGCCAGAAAGGAGTCATAGTCATGCTGAAGGAGTCATGGTGTTCCTTAGCAAACCTCTGGGAAGTACTTTGAGGAGTCTCAGTTGCTTAAATCTGTTTTTTTTATAACAGTGGAGTTTTGTACATATTTCTGTTCTGCCTTTATCATGCAACAAGCTGGCCATCTTGTATGTGCCTTCAGTTTAAACCTCTCTCAGCAGGATATTACTATCTGCTTCAGTGCCCTGCTTAGCATCACAGCTCAGGGGAGCATAAGCAACGATGAGCCTAACAGTTTGCAGGATATGAGTGAACACAAGATTAGCTAAAGCTACTAGCATAGAATCATAGAATGCTTTGGGTTGGAAGGGACCTTGAGAGATCATGGAGCCCAACCCCCCTACAGGGAGCAGGGATTGAACCTGTGAACTTGGCATTATTAGCACCATGCTCTAACCAACTGAGATAACCCGGCTGGTCTAAGCATAGCGCTTAAAATGTCTAGTGTTTTGGAAAAGACGCTTAAAATTCACTTAATGCATTCCTAAAGTAATCTGGTCAGCTGGAGAAAGTCCTTGAACTTTGGCTTGTAGAAATATCCTCCAGCTATATTGCCACCTCACCTGTGGTACCTCCTGTGAGACAGTGTGTTTCCGCAATCCACTGTCAGAGCTTTCAAAAGGTGTTTGCACATCTCAATGTCTTGCTTGGGTTCCCAGGTAAGGCCTGTTTTCACTGAGCCCTGGATTCTGAGAAGCCTCCTCCCTTGCCATGTGTGCTGGAGAGGGTTTAGTGCATGCTGACTACTTCACCTATCCTGGAAGGGCCAGGGTTGGTATTTGCATGCAGAGAGTGTCCATGCAGGTGGTGGCTGCACAGTGCTGGCCCAGGATATGCCAGATCCTTTGTGCATGTGTAGCAAGCCGGGATGTCCTGAGGCAGAGACCTACAGCCCACAGGCGTGCCTGCACACAGCAGCCCTGCCCTGGCTCGCTCCCGCCGGCTGCCACTGTGCTCCCTGGGTGCAAACCTGGTGCCTACTCCTGTCCGTGTGTGAATGTGCCGATAGGAAACAAATGGGTGTCTCTGAGTTTTGGAACAAAAATTGTGCAATCTCTTTGAAATCTTCCATTTCAAAAATTTATGATGTTCCTAGAGACCTCCACTGACCTTTCCTGAGGTATTTTGGTTTTGCAGTCCTTTGACAACTACTTAAAACACCTCCTCTGTAAACAGGAGCATTACTCCTGTTTAGGAAGAGAGCAAGACACTGTACTATATGTGGTCTCAAAAGAAATACTCAGATGCATTAATCTGACTTACTCTCTATTCTGGTCAATCACAGAAACCACCATTCTTTGGGTAAAGATATCATTTAGATTGAACTTCCCTTACCAAAAAAAAAAAAAAAAAAAAACCCACCACAACCCCCCCCCCAAAAACCAAAAAAACCACCAAAAAAACAAAACAGAATTTAAAAGATAGTGCAATGTCTAAAGTCTGTCTATTCCCTGCTTTTTCTGAACCCTTTTTATAAAGCAGATCTGCTTTTAATTGTATTTGTCATGTTTTAAGACTGAGCTGTCATAAAAGGAAGTATCTGGTTTACAAGGATCAGATAGGTCTGCTTGTAAACTTCCTGTGTTCCCCAGCATCTGGAAAAACATATGGGTCAAACCTGCTTACTTATTCTAACCAGCCTGCTGTGTCATGTCCCCGTAGCTGTGGTGGCTTTGGGGAAGTAGAGTCTGCACCCAAATCTCCCAGTACCCATTACAGGTTTTAATCTCAGATCACACCTATTTGTTTGAAATTTGAAAATACAAACCTGGAATTTATTTATTCCTGTAATCTTAAACCACAGCTTCTAACAGTTCTTAAGGCCATTTCAAACCAAGTGTATTCAGGTCCCAGTGAAGAGAAACCCTGTGTTTAGGGAGTGTATTATGGATACCTGAAAAGTTAAATAGATGTGCCAAACTCTGAAATAGCTACTGTGTTATTTTTTGAGTGATAGGCACACAGATTTTACAGTTAGGTTCACGGTTTTTCTATTTACAATAGTTGTATAACATCTGGATTATTTTAAAGTTATCTTTAAAATCTGTTCTTGTGCATGTTGAGGGAATGGCATGATTAAAACTAACTTAAATTAGGAGCCAGAAGAAATTGAAGAGGGCGAGTCTTACCAGGCTGCAAATTCTTTGAAGACATTTTCTAGTGCAAATTATTTTATTTACGTAAAGGTTTTTACAATACTTTTATCAAAATGATATAAAAGTTTTTCTCATCAGTCTTACATGCTGCAGTTACAAATACAAACACCAAGAACTGAGGTCATTTGTAGGAACTTACACTCAGTATATATGTAGCCTTTGAGCTTCTGTAAACATAAATGCTGACCTTTTGCTTTATTAACATGGACGATCAATCATAACTAGCTTCAGTATTTGTAACACTGTAGGTATTTCCTGTGAGGATGTGGAAACAGAGAATACTACAAAATAGCTTCTCTGTTTTGCTTACCAAGCAAGAATAATACATGCCTGGATTCACACTGATAAGGGTTAGCTCCCAGCAATCCTCATGCGCTAGAGGAGTGCAGGCGCTGACGAAGTGGAAGAACAAGTCTCCAGTGCAAAGCTAGTTAAGCAGCCTCAGAGGAGATGCTGCCTTAGATGTGTCAGTCTCAGTGTCTACAGCTGTAGATTTACTGCTCCTTGAACCTACAGGGATTCTGACTCTTTATTTCCAACATCTAGGGCAGTATTTGCTCTTGGCTATGTGACAGGGAGCTTCTGCAAAGCTCAACAGCTCCCAGGCATGTAGAAAGTGCTTTTACTTGTTTCCCATTTCCACTGGGCCAAAAACTTCTTTTCATATCACTGTTCCTGCAGTGATTGTGGGCTGGGAGCTAATTTGAAGTATTTGGAAAACATGAATGGGCCTAAAAGTTCAGATATCAATTCCTCTTCTGGTGTTCAGAGGCTGTGGCAACTGATATCCCAGTTTCTTCTCCATGGCCATGAAAGTGATCTTCTCAAAAGGAAATGGAGGTGAGGAGCCACTTCCCTGAATATGGGTACACCAGATGTTGCAATACATGTGATAAAATTATAGAGCTGGAGAAGGGTATTGCTGAAGATATTTCTTGTGTGTTGTGTGGAAGGAAGTAAATTTTACTGACATGGTTTTTAACACTTTTTAATTTTTTAAGTTGAATTGTTACACCTGAGGTTTGTTGCTGCCTGGGTTAATACTATACAAAATCATAATTCCAATAATATAAATATAGAACTAAATTTATTTTTCCCTGGATATTTTAACCATTGTTAGATAAACATTGGATTGACTTCTAATTTTCGACATCAGAAAATAAAGGAAAGGATCAAGACAACTGTTTAAGCTGCTAAGGCATAAAGCAATCAGATAAAAAGAATACAGCCCATCTGTGTTGTAATAGTAATAGTTGATGTGATGGATGATAAGGATAATATTGCTTGGCACAAAGCAAATAGCAAAGATGGTAAGGATCAAAAGACTGACTTTAACGTACCAGAACCATTCATGAGTCTTAAGTGTTCGTATAATTGAGATATAGCAGAAAATGATAGTTGCAAGAGGTATTAAAAACCCAAAGATAACTAAAGAAACATAGTAGTAGAACTGGAAGGAAGATATCATTTCACAGGCATTGTGCACGTCATGGCAGGTGTAAATGTTCAGTTGTTCCACATGATAGCTTTGCTGCATTATGCAAAGCGGGAGCATGTACAAGAAGACGATGGTCCACACGGTAGCACAGACCGCAATGGCATAGGCACGTTTTGGCAGGCTCTTGTAGGTGAAGGGGTGAACAATGGCCACATAGCGGCTGACACTGATGCATGTCAGCAGTAGAATGGAGCAGTACATGTTGCCGTAAAACACCACAGTGGTAGTTCGACACATCATTTCCCCAAAAATCCAGTTGTTCCCATTGATGTGGTATGCTATTTTGAAGGGCAGCATGATGCAGAAGAGCAGATCTGAAACCGCCAAGTTTGTGTAGAGGATGGCAGTGCACACAGACCGGATCCTGAAGAGCAGCATCCACAAAATGATGGCATTAGATGGTACACCCAATAAAACAGCACTGAAGTAGACGGCGGGTATTAGCTTGGTGCTCAGAGAACTGTTCAGGTATTCCAGTGTGGTGTTGTTCACTTCTGTTAAAGTGGAGCCATTTGATTTTCTTGAAGAGCATTTGCGTTCTTCGATGTGGATGGTTGTTGTCTCTCCTTCTATAGCATAAGGGGGGATGTAATCATAGTCTCTTGCTGAAATTCCACGGAAAGTCTTGATAAGAGACACAGTTTTAATTGCAGAGCCATTCAGTGAAAATTCTGAAGCTTAAAAAAATAAGTTAAAATTGTTAAAAAGGGTAAACTACTGGATTAGCAATATAGTTCACCTTCCGGTATGGAGAAAGATAAACATCTCCATGTGAAAAGCAATATATGTTCAAAAGATTTGGTGGCATTGTCCTTTGCTCTGGCTGTTCATATAAAATGTACTCAAGGACAATCTTTACTTTGTCATCTCACAGCCAACCTTGAAAATTTAGCATGAATTTAGTGTTACCTGATCTTTCTGCGTTTTGCATGCTTTCAGTAATCT